GACCTGGTCTTGCTAAAGTATGGTGTGTGCCTAAACAATAGGCCACTGATGCACAACTGTAGTCCAACATCAATTACGTCTGCAGCCAAGGAGTTGATTGCAAGCCCATTCAACCAGGCGGTGCTTGTTACAACCCGAACAATGCTAGGGCTCACGTGACCTATGCCATGAACACATTTTACCAGACCAAGGGTCGCCAGCCCTACCAGTGCGACTTCTCCCAGACTGTTGTTATCTCTAACCAGAATCCAAGTAAGTATCAAGGCTCCTCTATACATATTTCTATGTGCTAATTAATAATGACATGTTTTAACTCCTTATTCTGAAAAGCCTAACCTGAAGATTCTCAATAATACGTAGATTGATCTAAGTTTTAGGCCTCATACTCTCATATCAACCGTCTTTTTTTTTTTTTTTTGCTAAACTGAAATATTTATGATTAAAACCGATTTAAGCTAGTTTAGTTGTTAATCAAGACTAATATTTGATCGATTTTCTAGTATACTTGTCATACATATGTAGCCAACCTACCGATTAAAATTAGTTTTTATTTGATAACTAAAAAATTTACAATTGACTTGAACAAGGCCTTAAACATGCTCTCACATGTTAATTAATATTACGTTTTGCTCATCAAAGTGCGCTAAGTCGTGCCTTTTAAATAGTTTGCTCATTTGACAAATGAGCAACTAAGTTATTATTTCTCTTATTTAATTATGGTTTTTAAGATTAAATAAAATGTCCAAAATAACTATGAATTGATGGGATCATCAAATCGATGATTTGGTAATGGAACCCCACAGGTGATCAAAATTCATAAATTATTTAAGTTCCTATTTTGAAATCATTAATTGGACATAAATGATTTCAATAAATGGACTCGCATGTAAGATTGATTGGATAGCGCAGTTTCATGGGCTATAGGGGCATAGAGATGCTCGGTCAATCACATGGATATGCATGAATGATGCATGATCGAACTATTGACCTACTTTGAAGTTCAAGTATAGAACTTTCGGATATATTAGTGCATTCCTTTGACATGAGTGGAACATTGATTTCATTCAATGATTGATCTTATTGTGGTACATCCAAACGTCATTCCGTAAAAGGGGACTATAAAAGATGTTTCTTAGTTACTTCAAAAGTTGAGTGGGAGCTTTGGTTGCCTCAATTTTGGATTGAGTCTACATATACAATTAGGAAATGTGTCATGGCCGCTCGAAGAGGGAGAATTAAGAAAATACGTGGCCACGTTCATTTGTGTATTACTCAGTAATCATTTGGTTTTGTAATTCTAACTCAGATTTCAAGAAATGATTTGTAGATTAATATGATCTCGACATGGGATGCAATCATATTATCAAATCGACATATATTAACTTAAGGAATTTGAATATTGCACATTTGTCTTAGACAAGTGGGAGATTGAATGATTTATGTCTTCGTCAAGTGCAATTACTAGATATATAATGGATCAAATTATGGAGATAATTAAGTTCGTCTATTTGGGTCGTCGTTATATTATAGCTAGAGTAACTAACGATCTTTGAGCTAGTAAAATAGGCCAAAACCCAATTGGACGGATCCTATAAGGTCACACAAAGGGCCTAGATCAAGCATAAGAGGAAAAGGCCCATGATGAGCCTTCTCCCCCAGGTAGCAGGCCATATGGAGGGATTTGGAGGGTTTTTGGGCTTTTTTCCTAGTCTAATTATAATAGGATTATAAATAGACTAGGTTCCTAGGGGTGAAGCGACAATTCATGATCAGTGAGATCAAACCCTAATTAGAAAACACGAAACCCAACCCCTCAAACTCCCTTCTCTCTCATAGCTCTCTACTCCTCCCTAGGCGCTGGTGGTGTGCTCGTGGTGGTGGTGTTCGTGTGGTGTCCGGTTGTCCATTAAAGGTGGTGATCGCGGTTTTCCCTTCACTCAACCAATCTAGTATTGGTAGGGGTGTACACCGGTCCAAAACCGGACCGGACCTGGACCGGACCTGTTTGGACCGGGGACCTGAATTGGGTAATTATGAGGACCGGGGACCGGACCTGAATTAACAGGTCCGGTTCCGGGCCAGACCTGAAAAATCAGGTCCGGTCCGGGTTTGGACCTAAATGGACCTGTTTTGTGTCTTTTTCGTTTTTTTTTAATACAAAACCTGTTGGACCTGCATATGGACCTGCATATGGACCTGTTTTGTAATTTTTAGACCTGTTGCATAATTTAATAATTACATACAAACCAAAATTATCAATTACAAAACTACATAAAGTTTATAAAGCCCCGATTCTCAAACACCAAAAATACAAATGAGTCCACCGAAAATACAAATAAGTCCACGAAAACTCAGTTTCAATTTTTCAGAGTTTGGTTTTCTTCTGTTTTTTTTTTTTTTTTTTTTTTTTTTTTTTTTTTTTTTTTAATTACGATTTTCCCGGGTTTCAGGTCCGGACCTGAAAACCCCGGGTTTGGACCGGGTCCGGACCGGGACCGGGAACCTGGATTTTTAAGAACCGGGACCGGACCTGAATCAACAGGTCCGGGTCAGGTCCGGTCCGGTTCAGGTCGGTTCAGGTCCGGGCCAATTTTTGTACACCCCTAAGTATTGGTGGACGCTTGTTCGAATCCCGTGGAATAAGTAGAGGGTTCAAGCTTGGGGCTCTATTCTCTGCCTGATTTGTCAATCGAAAGCTACGTGGAATTCACGCTTCAAAGGTATAATTATGTGATTCTTGTGTGTTATGCATGTGATCCTGTTTCAGGTGCGTGTGAATGTGATTCATGAAATTCCGCTTATAGTACCTAAAGTCCAACAGCTAGAAGGGTATTCATATGTTGACTGGGGAAGTTGTGCTTTTAGTGCTAAATCACTATCAGGGTACTGCATTTTCCTTGGAAGATCTTTGGTGTCTTGGAAGACGAAGAAACAGAAAACAATTTCCAAGTCATCAACAGAAGCTGAATTACAAGAGCATGTCACACACTACTAGTGAATTGGTATGGATTGATGATATTCTGCAAAATTTGAAGGTTATTGTGCCTAAACCTATTATTCTTCACTGTAACAATAAATCTGCAGAACACCTTGCCCAGATCCTATTTTTCATAAAAGGACTAAACATCTCAATATTGATTGTCACTATGTGAGAGACCATATAGAATCAGGTTTTATTTTCTTGACACAATCATGTTCAAACCACCGAGTAACTAGGAGATGTTTTGACCAAGTCACTAAGCCAACAACAACACAACTTTCTATCCTTCAAGTTGGGTCTTGTGACTCAACCCAAGATCCAACTTGAGGGGGGATGTAGAATTAAGCATTGTATACTATCACATGATGAGCATGTGATCTATTTTTGTATGTATTGCTTCCTACCCGTGGCACTGTTTGATTGGTCATGGTAGGTAATGACTTGTAATTCTCTAGAAGGTTTCCGATCCTAGGTTAGTATCTTTCTAGGGATTGTAATGTGCCTTAGTATAAAAGGCAGTGCACTGTAATAGCAGCGCCGTGAGTGCACACAAAAAATCAATTCTAAAATCATCAAAACAGAATGAAAAATATGACAGCAAGTTTGCTGTAAAAATCATGTGATTTCTTTTCTTTTCAGAAAGTATGTTGTTTTTAAGCATTAAAACAAGTGCATATCAGCGCATAGCACCTATTGAAAAACGAAGTGTATAAGAGGGCAGAAACTTAATTTACCAGGCATTCGAAAACTTGAATATTCCACTTAACTGTGCTGGTGGTACATTTAATACTCCGAAAATGTACCACTGAAATGACATTGGTACATTTAATCAAAGTGGTACGTACATTTTGTACTTTGAATTGTACCACCAGAAAACCAGTGTCATCCTATACACTTTGGTGTTATGCGCTAATACTTATTCGCATTAAAACTATGTATAGTACTCTTTTATTCCAAAATTCAATCAAACATTATTACGGAGTTACATGATATTAAACCTTTAGAATTGCGTACATAGGTATATATAAGATCCAAAAAAAAGGTACCAATATTTTGTTAAACCAAATTTAGAACCTATCAACAAAATAATTCTATTGAATGTTAATTCAAAATTCTATAAAAGTATAATTAGTCGTAGTAATCATATTATTTCAAGGTTAATTATTTTTAGTTTCACTTGTTTAGGGTTGAGTAATAATAGTTCGGATTGAATTTGATGATTACATGTTAGTTTTAGGTTTGATCAACAATGAGTTGGATAAAATTAAATTATAGGCACCATAAGTTAGGACGACAACAGCAGGTTGTGTAAGGCTATGATTGATTTCGCATTCTAATTGGGCTAGGTATCAGTTTGGGTTCAAATTGTTGTTTAGTCCAGAGAAATATATAGATTGCTAGTTAATATCAAACCGGTGCTAGTTTGTGTTTAGTTCATAGAATATTATTTTAAATTGGTTGATGGTTAATATCATCGGGTTGATTACGATCCCTGTTATGGTTCAAACGATCAGTAGTATCATCCATTATAATTGTTCGAGTATAAGTTAAGTTCAAGTCATTGCTAGTTAAGTGGACTTGACAAGTCGGTTAATTTCAGACAGCTCTAATATGATATTAAATGTTATAATTCTTGTCATAAATTATATGTATAATCTTATGTACAGAACATAAACATGGGGTCAAAGTAGTCTATGTAAATAGCTAGTGCAAAAGTTAAAATAAGGCATTTACTTTGAAATGGATGGAGTAATCAATAAGCAAATTTATTCATTATTATAGCATCACACAAGTTCAAAGGATAGTATTTTTACTATTTTATTAATTGTGAATGGTAATTAATTTTATTATTTGATCAAACTTCATATTAAGCATATTCAAATTTTCTAGTCGAATATTATTTCATTTTATTGTATTCCTATTGTAAGGAATTTTAATTTACCGATTTTCGAAAACCATAACCATTAGAATTTTACTCAAATAAGCAACAAATAAAGGGAAACCTCTCCACAAATCTTCATAAAAAAAATATAAATATATATTTCAATTAAAAGTCTTTAACATAAAGCCTACAAACTCATTAAAATCTATTTTCCCATCATTATTTTGATCAAAACCCTTAATCATTTTCCTACAATCTTGCAACTCTACCCCTTTTCTTATCCCTAAAACACAAAGCACTCTCTGTAATTCCCCTGCATCAATAAACCCATCTTTATTTTGATCAAATACATCGAAAGCTTCTTTTACCTCTTCCAAACTTGGTTCATCTTCAAATAAATTAGATAATTCTTTACAATCCCACTTCTTTTGAAGCTCTTCTCCTTCAAAACTATGTTGAATTCCAAGTCTTTCCATGATCATGTTTATATCGCATCCAAACAAGCAATCATCATCATGATCAATAGATACATTGTTCGAGCTAATCAAAGATTGCTTCCTTACAATAATATTGTTGCTCTTCGGCTCAAACATGATGGCCTCAGAAGAGTTGAAGAAATGAAATTTTGCATGAAAAAGTGACCAAGAACTCATGAAGAAATTTGACAAGTTATGTTTCAAGTCAAAAATAACATGTAGGAAAATTAAATCAAGGAAATTTGAGGAAAGTGTGTTGTAAGATGATGATGATGATGCCTTCTCCATTGTAATAATATTAACTTATTTATCGAATATTACCGCTTTGCTAGCACGGAGGAAATTCGCGAATGGTTTGATGGATTGAAAATAGGCATGGTGTCAATTTATATAGGATTAACGTACTTTTAAAGGGTTAGAAAAGCCGAATAGGTCAGGTGGTTTATTGAAGGTGTAAGGGAAAGTTCATGGATTTTGCTTTGAAGTTGAAATAGAAGGTTGGAGCAAAATAGGTTGAAAATTGTGTATGATAAATTACTTAATAATTTAGGATTCCTATAAGAATTATATCTTAGACGAACTTGGAAGTTTCCTTCATATGTTGTGGAAGTATGTGGCATCAAGCAAGTCAATAATATGAGGCAGACTTTTGTTATGGAACACTTTTCTCCTAACCCATTAGACTATCCTTTAATTCCTTTTGTCTCTTTCCCTTAGTATAAATAATATAAAAAAAAAAACACGCAAAACGAAAACAGAAGAAAAGAACATACACAATTAAACACAAGTATGGAATTCCTCCACCAAAGGCCTAAAAATTTTTTAAAATTTATATATGCATGGATGTAAGGTGCACTTACTGATATTTTCTACTTAATTAATATTTTTAGTTCATTTAAAAAATTATATATATCAAATGAACAAAAAAACTCCCCTTGATTTTTCAAAAAAAAAAAATAAAAAAAATCTCCTTGGGTGCACTTACCTCTATATACACCCGGGCTATATAAAAGGTGTTTCCAAGGGCCACCCTTCCTAGATTAAGTCGTTAATTATAAACAAAATCTAAGTATATTGGTTGAATAAATTAATTTAAACTTGATCGTATTTGTACCATACGATGTTAAAATATAGGGAAATGTTAAGGGCTGCATATAAGTATTTAATATACTTCTTTTTTTAGTATTAAGTTGGGAATTTATCGGCAATTCACAAGTAAATAGGTGTAATAAATGTTTATTTATTGTCTATTCTTTCCACTTTTAGCTTCTTATATGCTGCCCTTAGGGTTGCATATATCTTTTTTCCAAAAATATATAAACATTATTTTATCAAGTGAGATGTTGTTAAATTTGTGTTTATATATTTATATTTTTTAACTAATTAATTTGTATAAGTTTTATATAATTTCATATTAATCAAACAATAATTAAAAACTAAGATCTACTCTGATTTGAGATAAACTAGTGGATCAAGTAAACTTATTTTTATACGTTGTACTGAGGCTATATTCAACTCCCCTAATTAAGTTTTTTAATATACTGTGATTAGATTTTCATATTTACTAAACTTTGACCTTATTCAATGCAACTTTTCTAAATGTCATATGAAATATTCACAAGTAAAAGCAAATAAACAAAAATGGTTTAATCTGTTTTGGTATGAGTTGATTCGGTCATTTTTTTTTTTAATAAGCAAATGTTAGCTTACATGAGCAGAACTAACCTCGGGCACAAGGTAAAATAAAATGGAAACTTTCTCATGATCCCCTTTTGCTTATTATAGAACGAATTGCGGATCCTTCATCTTGTTTTGTGTTTATAACGGAATAATTATTTGTCCACGATTTATTAGTTAAAATTGATACTCAATGTATTTCTTTTTTATTCAGAAGAGGTTAGCTGGTAACCGAAAAAGGGGAAAAAACAAACAAATAAGCAAAAGCAGAAATCAAAAATAAAAAGAGACTAAATTATGGAGGGACTAGGCGTGGTAAAGCCACACCCCTAGCGTCCTTCTATAAGATACGACCTAACTCCGATGGAACCACAGTGATAATAATCAATTGAGAGTCCAAAGTGACTCCGCAGTTGGCCAACCAATCCGCCGCTCTATTTCTCTCTCGATACACATGTGCTACCTTGATTTGCCATGCCGTCTCATTAAGTAACTTCTGACAGTATTGAATAGCTTGGCTATTTTCCCCTCGTATTGCTTCGTGTTGCCTTAGAGCTTGCACACAGGTCAGACTATCCAGTTGAACTTCCAGCTTTGAGATTTGAAGGTTCTTAGCTAGTTCCAGACCTCTCATGAGAGCATGCACTTCTGCTTTGAATGCTGAACATACTCCAAAGTTTGCTGCGAATGTTGATATGAAATGGCCATCATGGTCTCGAATAATTCCACCACCCCCTGCAATACCTGGGCTCCCCTTTGCTGCCCCATCGCAGTTCAAGGCATACCATCCAAAATCAGGGGCATGCCAGGTAACAGCCACTGGAATTCTCTGCTTATGTTTGTGGCTATCTTCTTCTGAGATCTCAGTAAAAGCTCTACAGGCCTCAGCATATCTAACTTGTAAAAAAGCATTTATATCCACCGGGATCTCATCACTTCTATTAAAGACAAAGAAATTCCTCCATCTCCAAATCCACCAAATTGCCACCCCAAAATAAGTAGCCCAGCATTCCTTATCCCCTCGTATATTTAGCTTTAAATTTCGCACAAGCCAATCCTTAAGGGAACCTTGAGAAAAAATCTGCCAGTCATTGTGAGGGACAATCTTACGCCATATACTACGAGCATTGGGGCAATCTCGAAGAATATGGAGGGTACTCTCCTCACTAGCACCACAAATAAAGCACTTTGCATCGTCTGTTAACTTTCTCCAAAAACGATTCAGATTTCCAAGTATTCGATCGTGACAAGCAAGCCATAAGAAGGCCCGAATTCTCTGTTGCATTGGAGCTTTCCAAATTGTATCCCAGCAGTCATCATCTAGAACATCAGTTTCGTGTCTCATTATGCTAATCACAGAGTTGATAGTGAATTTTCCATGTTTACTGTCCCTCCAATAGACGAGGTCTCCAAAATTCGGGTCTGCTCTAAGCTCACGACTTTGAATGACTTTCATCACCTCAGAAGGTAAGTAAGGAGCAATAATATTCCACCTCCAGCCAACATTTTCCTCCCACATATCTGCTACAGTAACTGATGCTAATTCTATGGGTAATGGTTGTATCACAACTTTTCTCAAAGGTTCCTCCAAACACCATAAATGATCCCATAATAGATTTTTCTCACCATTTCCCACTGCTACTCTTGTGCCTTTCCCCAGAAAAGTCGCATTTTCAGTAATGCCACTCCACACATTCGAACTGCCACTCTTGGGTTTGAACATATCAATGTCGCATCTCCCTTTGCAATACTTTGATCTTAATACTCTCGCCCATAAAGCATTTGGTTCGGTTTGCATCCTCCACCCTAACTTTGTGATAAAAGCTGCGTTTGCTTGTTTTTGCCGAATAAATGCCAATTCCACCTTGACTCTTTGGTCGTTGAAGTAACTCCCACGAAAGGAGATGAACTCCCCTTTTTTCTTCATGCCCACCCCAAATAAACTTCCTGGTTTTCTTGTCAATTGCTTCACAAGTCGTTCGGGGTATTTTAGCAGTTTGCATAGAGTATAAAGCCATTGTAGAAACTGTAGACTTGGCTAATGTAATCCTTCCTGCCATGATTTCCATCCCGCAAGCCTTCTATCAATTTTCTCAAACAAATGGCTAAAAGTTTCTTTTGTAACTCTGCTAGTCAAGGTCGGCATACCAAGGTACATACCCAAATCTTGAGTAGTGTCCATCCTTAGAGCTTCACTAATCTGGGATTGTTCTTCATAGCCAACATTAGCCGAGAAGTATACTCTAGACTTAGGAAAGCTTACTTTTTGTCCCGAGGCTTTGCAAAAACGCTCGAGGAGTCGAGGCAATCATGTATAACTTCAGCTTGGTTTATGCTCGCCTCAGCAAAGAGGATAATATCATCAGCAAAAAAACAGATTAGAGAGGCAAGGTCCATCTCTACTAGCCCGAATAGGCTTCCACCTACTTTGGATAATAGTTTCCTCAATAACTTGGAAAAACGCTCCATACACATGACAAATAAATAAGGGGAAAGAGGATCCCCTTGACGAATTCCAAGGCTAGGCTTGAATTTTTGTGTGGGTTCCCCATTCCAGAGCACTTGTAAAGAAGCCGAAGTTATGCATTCCATTATGAGTTCTATCATTAAAATCGGAAGGTTCATTTGCACCATTATGTCTCTTATGAAAGACCAACGTAGCCTATCATAAGCTTTTTCAAAATCTATTTTAATGGCCATGTAACCTTTTGCACCTTGTTTTCGTCTCATGGTATGAATAACTTCTTGGACTATGACAATGTTATCCGATATTTGAGGACCAGGCACAAAGCTATCCTGTGTATTAGAAATCAAATGTGGGAGAACCGGCTTGAGTCTGTTAACTAGAACTTTTGTAATAGCCTTGTACGCAACATTGCATAAGCCAATGGGCCTAAACTGAGAAGCAAATTCCGGGTTTTCCAACTTTGGGATTAAAGAAATGAAAGTGTCATTGATCTGGTTAGGCAGCCCCTTCCCTTCCAAGCTAGCTAGGTAATATAGTCCGGTAGATTGTATCCGCAACAATCTCCTAATTCTTTTGATAGAACAACGCCTGGAACCCATCTGGACCCGGTGCCTTCAACGCCCCCATTTCCTTGAATGCGTTTTCCACCTCCAATTTTGTATAAGGTTTAACCAACCCACTCCAATCACTCGTGGAGAGCTCCAGGAACACGTCTTGGGGTATCTCAAAATATTCTGGTTCTCCTTCCTCTGTAAATAAATTCAAAAAATAGTTTACAATATGTCTTTTGATCTCCTCTTTGTCTTGCAACCATTGAACTTCTTCACCCTTGATTGCTACTATCTTATTCTTCCATCGACGCACAATTGTGCTTAGGTGGAAAAAACTGGTGTTTCGGTCTCCATGCTTAAGCCATTCAATTCTTGATTTTTGATACCATAAGATTTCTTCTCTCTCAATAACCTCATCTGCTAGAAGCCAAGGTTTGTTGTGTGAAGCAGCAAAATTTTTTACCTCTTCCTACAAATCTTTTCTTTTCAAAGGATCTGGGCTAGCATAAATAGCCGAGAAGTACCAGGGTGTAGCTCCAACCCTTGATATTTCCATTGTTATATGTTGGTTATTTTGTAAGATTGGACTTACAGTCACAACTTCAGTCTTCCAATACACCCAAATGCCCCCACTAAAACCCATAGCATCTACTCTTTCATGACCATTGAATCCTAGAATTTTCGCAACTTTGATTGCATGATCCCCTCCCATATGAGTTTCAACCAGGGCCAGGACGTTGGGATTGTGTAAACGGACAATCTCTTTTAAAGCAGAGACAAAGTTTTTGTTACCTGCCCCTTGCACATTCCATATCATGCATGAGATAGGTAGTGAGTCAACAGCCAAATTAGGTAATCTATCTTCAATGTATTTCTTTTTAATTGTTCTATTTTAGTTTTATGTATGATATCAAATGCACACTTTTAAACATGGTATTCTTAGTATAATAAAAATTAGAAAATTTTGATAATTATCAGCTATAATTATAGTCGTTTTAGTAATAACCACCAACAATTTTTATTTTATTTTATTTTATATAT